TGAAGGTAGAAAGGACCCAGCTGGGGCTGCTCCAGGGGCTCAGCAGGACCCCAGGGAGGCAGGGAAATTTGAGCAACTAACTGCTCTTGGCAAAAATGTCTCTTCTAGGACCAGATATTTGCCCAGTTCCCCACTTCCCTCCCCCCCTCCCCCACACACAAACACATATACTCACACACTTATAGACACACTCATACACACACAAACACACACACATGCATATAAATACACATGCACACACATGACTACATAGGCATCTACATGGCCTCTGCAACCACTTTCAGAACAGTAACACTCCTCAAGGTGGGATAAGGTGAAAATAAATTTCAACACCAGCACCAGCCTGGAAGGAGAGCTCTCTGTTCCCTGGACCAGTGAGGGTCATCCCAAGAGCATTTCGGCTGGATCTGAGCTAAGGAAAACTGACCCTTCCTCCCAAAACCCAGAACTGACCACAATAAATAACTGGTTCACAGTTGGAAGATGCCTGAGGTCACCTGATACAACCTGTCACACATGCATTCTCCAAGGCCTCTCCAGCTCAGACACGCTGCTGCCGTCTGTTGCAAAGAATCAACTACAAAGAATGTGATTTCCCAAACTGCAAGCCCCAGGAGGGGGCATTCTGCCAGCTGGAAGAGAGGACACTGAGCATCTCCTCTTCCCACCCGGGGGGCTGTGCCTGCCTTTGCTCCTCTTACTGCACCAAGAACAGGCCTGGGACTGGCCTTCCATAGTGAGCAGAGCAAGAATCAGCACTAGGACTAGAAGTGGGACCAGCCATCCCACAGGCCAAGAGGGAAGCCAGAGGAAGACGTAAGAAGGCCAAACAGGCACATCGGACAGACCAGCACCAACGCCCACAGAGGAAGAACCAGCCTTTTGGCCCTTTCGTGGTCCCATCTCCCTTCCTTGTCTTGCTCCCTCCGGAGCAGCATATGGGCACAAAAGGCGAATGAGGGGCAAAGGTCAGGTTCAGGAGGCCATGGAGGAGGATGGTGAGGATTCTGGGCCCATGACTAGTGCAGGTGCAGATTGAGATGGCATAGCTGACAGTGCCCCGGGCAGAGGAGGAGGCCTATGGGGAGGGATCTGAGGTTAGCAGCTGCAGAGTATGGGGCCACTGCCTCACCCAGAAACAGCCTAGGCATGGCTCCCCGAGATGGGAGGGCACACAAGGCCTCCTGGCTCATGTCACATTCCCAGGGCCATCTGCCGTCATCTCATACTGCCAACTAAAAGCTGTTCCCAAAGCTCCCTCCACCTGCCAGGGCAGTGAATGCGGCCCTCCCACAGCTAAACAACAGTCCACATAGGCTGCCTCACTCCAAGAGAAAGACATACCTGCTAGCTTTTTCCTCTGCAAGAGGAAGAGCCAGGGCCTCTTCGGGCTGGGGCAGGGCTGGGGTCAAGGCCTCTGTAGGTGTCATGGGATGTGATCTCATCCTCATTACATCGGACGGGGGCCGGACAGTTACCCTCACTCATCATGTGGACCTATGAGGTCATTCACACAGACACCGAGGGAAACTCTCCGATATACATGCATGTCTGGCCCCCAAATGGGGTAACCAGAGGGCAGAGAATGAGACCTCTGAGCGCTTAAAATGCTGGGGCTCTTCCACCTTCTGTCCAACTCACACACACCTCAGCTTCATGCTCCTCCCTCCTTCCCACACCCTAACTTTGCCCAGTGACTGAAGGCTCTCACACATGGTCTCCCCCAAAAGCTCTCATTATGTTGTGAATCAGAGGGCGGGGGGGCAGATCTGGCAGATACAACCCCTAGAAACCCATAAGACCGGTGTGACTTCCGGGAGCAGGGTCTGCTGCCCTGGGACTCACTGTCATGGGCTGGGGAGAGGCAGATTCCTGCCATGTGAGGTCAGCAGCAGAGTTCAAGGCCACGGGTGCCCATGTGAGGATGCTTGGGTAGCTCTCCATGAGCAGGGGTGGGGGTGGGGGGGTGAGGGGGGACTTCCCCAGCCCCAGAAAATGACACAGTGTCTGCGCTATGGAGAAGGCAGAGTGAGGTCCCAGGTGGGCTCAGGGAACAGAAAAGGAAGGAGGAGAGGGTAGTCTTTCAGAGGCAGGAGTCCCTCCATCTGTCTTTCAAGACTGAGCCCCCCCAGAGCATGGCTAAGTTAGCATTGTAAATTGATCTATTTGAGGCTAGAAGAAAGGTGCATTTTGGGAAATCCATGAGGAATCAGGACACTTCTCAAAATGAGCCCCAGAAATGAGTATTTGTCTTCATATTGTTCTAACAGTTCTATTTTTATTTGGTTGTAAAGAAGAGAGTTTAAATAAATAATGTCCATAAAATAAGCTATATACCAATTATTAAAAAGCAATCACAATTGTTTTTCGCACACGCACACACATCACTCTACATTCTTTGATAGTAGTTATCTCCCGGTGGTGAGATTCATGGTCCGTTCCTTCCTTCCTTCACTTAACAGTTGTAGAGCACTGAGTCCATGTGGTGCTTATGATGGGTTCTGGGGACATGCTGGAACACACTCCAGGCTAAGCCACCCCTGCCTTATAAAGCTTATTTTCCAGTGGGAGAGACAGGAAATAGATAAGTGACCAAATGCACACAAAGGGCCACAATTGTTTTTAGTGACATGAAGTGAACCGGAAGGTCACCCTGTAGATGGGTTGTCAGGGAAGGCTGCTGGCAGCCCCAACCTTCCCGCTGATGCTGAGGCACAAAGAGCCAGGGGCCTGGAAACTACAAGCTCCAAGGTGGGGAGCACTGAGCTCCTCCTGGGAACTGAGGGCCGTCAGCAAGGGTCTCTGACACCAGGGCAGTGAGTTTGGACTTTATTCCAGGTGTGCTGAGTCACCACCAGTATCAGGGAAGGACAAGCTGCAATACCCAATCTGCAATATGACTTAAACTCTTTTTAGGGAATGGGTTGGGGACAGCAATGGATGATTTGGTTTCATCTTCATACCTTTCTGCATTTCCCAAAGAAGTCTAGAAAGTGGTTGTTTTAGCATCATAAAAAGCAATCCCTATTTGATATATTATATGTTGAATGCCTGTTCTCTTGCCTGGAGTGGCCCATCTTTTGGAGTTTCTATGAGTTTTTATTCTTGGGAGCTTCTGAACTACAGCCTTGGATATTAGGCATGGGCAGTCCAAGGCACATAGCGGGAGACTCCTGTGAGCCTTCCATTTGTCCCTATTGGGCCTAAAAAAACAGGGTTTATTTCCTGACAGCATAGAGCTATAGATAGGTCCTGAGAATACGTGGCTGTGGGCTAACGGACAAGAGAGCCCTTACGAATCCCATCTCTTCATGAGAAGTGATTTTACCACCTTTATACCACATACCCTGTGTGGACATTCCAGAGAGAAACATAATTTTCCATTTCTTGCCCTTGGAAATGAATCTCTGCCTAGTAATGGGGATAAACCCAATCTACAGGTGGAAAAATTGAGATTCAGAGATGCTTGGCTGAGGTCGCAAAACAATAGGCAAAGGGGAGTTGGTTCCTGAGCTGCCTCCCTCACCTCCCTGCGTCCAGGTCATGAGTGAGGCAGGAGTGCTTGAGCCCCCAGAGCCCTCTGGCCAGGCAGGAGCTATGTCTGTCTGTGAAAAGGGGCCCTGAGGGGTTTTTTACTTCAGGTGCCTGTGATGTGTCAGGGAGGGGCTGGAGGAAGTGGTGGAACCAGTCCATCTCCTTCATCCTGGGAAGACGGCCAGTCTGGGACCAGTATAAAGGGTGCCCTGGCCCCTGCTAAGCTCAGCTCAGCATTCCACTAGAAGCCCGTCCAGCCATCCTTCCTGTGGGCCTGGTAAGTGTGAGCCATCCCCCAGGGATGGAACTGGGGGCCTCCAGCAGGCAGAGCATGGCTGGGGGGCCAGCCAGGGTGGGTGCAGGCATCCTCATGGACTGGATTCAGTTGTAGTACCTGTGCTTCTAGAAGGTCTCCGGTCACTGTGCTGAGGGATAGGTGTCATGGGATGGAAACAGAAAAGATGACAATCTCTTCCTGTCGCCGCTTTCCTTGGGCCATGTTTTGGAATGTGCGTGTGTGGGGTGTATGTGAGAAAGAGTAAGAGTGAGACAGAGGGTGGGGGCAGTGAGATGGGGATGCAGCATGAATATGGCCAAATTCTTTCCTCAAATTCTTTGATTTAGGTTGACTGTGATTTTGCCTCTCTTATGGGGGCAGAGGCTTCAGGGAAATGCTTGTAACTCTTGGTTCTGTGGCAAAAGGGGACACTTCAGAATGGAGAAACTTTCTATTTGGAGAAACCCAGGCAGAGCAGGGGCAGGAAAACCGAACTTACAAGTGGAGATTTGGAAGAGCCAGCTCCATTCTCAGCAAGATTGCTGCCCCTCCCGCCACCCCTCACCTGAGCACTGGGGCTGCAGGGAAAGCTCAGAGCTCATGACGAAAGTAGATCTGCAGTTGATAGGCCAACCTGCTCATTTTAAAGAGGAGACAGCTGGGGCCCAGAAGGGCTAAGTGCTTGGCCCAGGAGCACACAGTGTTTCAGTGAGATATTTAAACCAAGAATATTGTCATGAGACTCCAATCCAGGGCTCACGCCATGACCTCTCACCTCCTCTCCATCATGGGCTAATGGCTTCCAGGACTTTCCTAGGACCTTACCTCTTTCTGCTATGACCTCAAACTCTTTCCTTCTTGGAGGTCAGAGATGAGGAGAGGCAAGGACGAGTCGCCAGCAGGAGGCAGAGTGGCGCCCAGCCCACCCTTGCGGAGCAGCTCTGGAGACAGAACTCTTGCAGGAAAGGAGGCTCCCAGGAGGGCCTCTCCCTGCCTCTCCCCATCACTACCCTCCCTCTGCTGCTTCTGGGGAATGACAGCTGGAGGTGGTGGGAGAGGCCCGGCCCCGGGGACGAGAGGGGCTGCTGAGGAACCAGGCACTGATTGCTTGGGAATTCCTCTACTTCCTCTCTTCAGCCACCCCGCTGACCCCTTCTGTTTTTCAGGTTGACCTGAAGCAGCTTCCAAGATGTCCCAGCAGCAACACACTCTGCCAGTGACCCTGCCCCCAGCCCTCAGCCAGGAGACCCTTAAGCCTATTCCTCCTCCTGCTGATATCCAGCAGGAGCAGGTGAAGCAGCCAACTCCACTGCCTGCCCCATGCCAGGAGGTGCCCTCTGAGCTCCCAAGGGAGGTCCCCTTGGAGCAAGGAGAGAAACACACAACTCCTGTGAAGGGGGTGCCTGAGCAAGACTGTGAGCCCCAGCCCCAGAAGCTACAGCAGCAGCAGGAGGAGCAACAGGAGCAGAAAGGGCAGCAGCAGCAAGAGGAACAGTGTGAGGACCAGGAAGCAGAAAACTTGGAGCAGCAGCTGGAGGAGACTAAAGCACAAAGGGGGCAACAGCTAAAGGAGCAGCTGGGACAGGAGAAGAAGCTCCCGGACCAGCAACTGGATGGAGAGCTAGCAAAGAGAGATGAGCAACTGGAGAAGAAAGGAGAGCAGCTGCTGGAGCACCCGGGACAGCAGGAGAAGCAGCCAGAGCCAGCAGAGCAGCTGGATGGGCAGCTCGAGCAACCTGCATGTGTCCCAGCTCCTGGCCAGGCCCAAGAGACCCACCCAGTCCAGCCACTGAAGGGAGAAGTCTTGCCCCCTGCAGAGGAGCAACAGCAAAAGCAGGAGGTGCAGTGGCCTCTCAAGCATAAGTAACCACTCCCAGATCCCAGAGGCCCTCAGGCCACCATACATAAGCGGAGAGCTGAACCAGTGGCCTCACTTACCTCAGGTCCCCCAGTCTGGATGGCCCACCTCATCTGTGAACCTGCCTGACCCTGTCCTTCTGCTTGTCTCTGTGATAGAGTGGGATGAGGGAGGGGGAAGCTATTGCCCAGCACCTACTCCTGATGACTCCAGTCCCACCCATCCCAACCTCAGGTGGCCAAGCCTCTGCCTGAGGACAGTTACTATAGCCACTCTGACGCCATCCCCAGTATTATAGCAGAATCTGTGAGTGTGTACAATGATACAGAATAAATCCTGGAAGTCTGGGATCCTGTATTCTCTTTGGCTTTTGTTTCTCTGCCTCTCACCATATTAAAAACCCATGTATGGGTCAATGGTTGCAACTGACTCTCTTGGCCAACTCCCAAAGGAGGACAGATATCTTGACCCTCCGCTAACTTTGTTCCCCAAACCACCCAAAACTTTGAATAGCCTCTAAAATGAAACCAAAAGAACACCAAAGCAAAGGAACACTTGCCAGTTTTGAAGGGGGCATAAGTTTTTCTGGTTGGGGAAGAGGATCTGGCTGTCTCAGCCCAGCACTGCCTTATCACATGGAGCACAATTTTAGCCCAAGCGGGTGGGGAGGAGGTAGAGTTCCTTCTGGGTTCTGGTCCCTTCCTGGATTTTCTCTCTGTAGAATGTCCTCATGTTTTCCAAGAGTCTTATGCACTGCCTACTTGGTTAAAGAAGATTCTAGAACACTATTAGAAGCAGAATTGGGCAAGGTGAGGAGAGGAGAAACTCCTGGGACTGGTCTTTGATGGGGAGTATGACAGTGTCACTAAAGGAAGTAAAGGCTAGGCCAGCTGAAATCATGGAAGCTAAAATGCTGAATCAGCTGGAAAAATACAAATGCAAGGTCATTGTGTCCTTTTCCCTCCCTGACATTTCTGTAGTCTTTACCACCATCAATCATTTCAGGACGTGGAGCTCTCTCTTTCCTGGGGATCACTAGCCTTTAACTATTTAACCACATCATCTCAGGCAGTTTTTCTCATTACCCGTAGGCATGAGGATAAGTCAGGGACATCCTTACAGATACTTCCATAGGCACCCAAACTCAATAGGTCTGAATGGCATTTAGCATCCCCCCCCACCCAACTCCAGCAACATTCACTATCTTTCCTCCTTAGGTATTCTCTCTCTTGAGGAACAATATTACCACTTGTGCTTTCACCTAAACCAGAGATACCATCATCATTCCTCACCCCTCTTCTCTTCTTCCCTACTCCCCACCAACGATCAAGTCCTGGCTCTCCCTACACACACCTCCCAAGCCTGGACTGAGATCATTTCTTACCAGAGCTTTTGCAAAGGCCTTCAAGTTAGTTTTCTTTATCCTCTGTCCATCCACCCATCACATAGAGGACAGTGTTCTGCTTAAAATTCTGATCTAACAGCACCACTCAGGTTAACACTTGTCAGTGGCTCTCATTACTTAAGGGACAAGAGTTAAAAGAAAGTTTGGGTAGAATGGGGGAGGGGAGGCAGGAGCTTGGGAGCAGAGGGAGAAGTGGTTAGAAACATCTGGAATATATGAAAAATTATTTTGAAGTCTTAGGTTTTGATTTTTTAATGGACCTTATAGTTTACAACAGTTTGGGATTTACAGAAAAGTCAAGGAGAGAGTATAGAGTTCCCATATACTCCACACCTAGTTTCCCTTATTAACATCTTGCATTAGTGTGGTACATTCATTATATTGATTAACAAAATAATATTGATACCTTATTGTTAACTAAATACATGGTTGCCCGGCCAGCATGGCTAGGTGGTTGAGCGTTGACCTATGAACCAGGAGGTCATGGTTCAATTCCCAGTCAGGGCATATGCCCAGGTTGTGGGCTCGGTCCCCAGTGTGGAGCATGTAGGAGGCAGCCAATCAATGATTCTCTCCCATCATGGATGTTTCTATTTCTCTCTCCCTCTCCCTTCTTCTCTGAAATCAATAAAAATATATTAAAAAATAAATAAATAAAGTACGTGGTTTATTCTGATTCCCTTGGTTGTTTTTTACCTAATGCCTCTTTCTGTTCCAGGATTCCATCAGTCACACTGTAGTTGTCTTACCTCCCTAGGTTCCTCTTGACCCTGACAGTTTCTCAGACTCTCCTTGTTTTTGGTGACCTCGACAGTTCTGAGGGGACCTGGTCAGTATTTTTTAGACTGTTCCTACATTGGGTGTGTCTGATGTTTTTCTCATGTTTAGACTGGAGTTATGGGGTTTTAGGAGGAAGAATACAGAGGTCAAGTACCATTTCAAAGCATTATATAAAGAGTACATCCTACTGACATTTATCAACTTGAGCACCTGGCTGAGGTAGTGTAAGTCGGGTGCACAGGACAATAAACATGTCCTACCTCAGCCCAGGCTACAGGGGACAACCACTATTTGGTTTCTCAGTAATGCTGCTGCCCCTTCACCAGGACACTCCTTATAACTTTAGTGAAAGGACAGTCTTCTGGGCTTTCAGAAGAACAGATTCAGTTGATGGGCTTGGTGCATATAAAAGAGCTTCATTCAAGTAAACCCACCTCTCAAACTCTATCCTATTATTAGCACTCTGCTAAAGTTCTGCATCTCTACCTCATTTAATGTGGGCCATTATTTTTCCCAAGTTCCAAAAGGCGACTCAGCAACAACAACAATAATAATAACAACAAAAATGAAATGGCCTGACCAGGTGAGGCACCATTTTGGAAGCTAAAAGGATGCATGCTACAGTTGACACAGGTGGCACTGAACCCAACTCCGCTACTTACATTCTGGCTGACCTTGGGCAAGTTGCATAATCTCTCTGATCTCTTTCTTCATGGTTTTCTGAAATTACTCAGGCTGTTATGACTAAAATGCCATAGACGGAGTGGCTTAAACATTTATTTCTCACAGTTCCGGAGGCTGGGAAGTCCAAGATCAGATGCTGGCAGATTTGTTGTCTGGTAAGAGCCTATTTCTGGTTCACACACCACTGTTCTCACTGTGTCCTCACATGGAAGAAGAGAGAAGGGGGATCTCCTACATAAGGACACTAATCCCATTCATGAGAGCTCCACCCTCATAACCTAATCACCCAAAGGTCCAACCTTCTCACATTGGGTATTAGGATCTCAACATAGAAATCTGGGGGCAGGGGAAGGGGAAATATAAACATGTAGTCCATGTCAGTGGTTAAAAGGCAGACAGACATACTGACCTTTCTCTTAACATTGGTTTGGTTATGATATAATATTTGCAAAGGACTTGACATGGGTTCTAGCTTACAGAAAGGGCTCAGCAAATGAAAGGAGTGATTCACAGAGGTCCTTTGGGATTTCAAAAGCCCCTTTTATTTTTGTTGCTGCTTTTTATTCACTGCCCTAATTGGCCCCTTAAAATAGGCTTGATTTATTTCTTATATGCCAGGCATTGTTCAAAGCATTTTGCATTTTTTAAACCCATTCAATCCTAAAAACATGGAACATAGTATAGAGTATATAATAAGTATCCTGGCTGATTTTGATTAGCTAAAGCGAACTGCTGGGGAGTGAGGAAGCCTTCTCAAAAGGACTACAACGATTAGCTTTTGGCTTATGTGTTTTTTGAAATTTTCCTAGCACGAAGGAATGAGAATACAATTCAAGCAAGAGGAATCTACAGCGGGTGTCTTACCAACTCTATAGGCTAGCCAAGAGAAAGAGCATCCAAGATGGTCTGCCAGTCTTCCAAAGTGTCTGTGCTCTCTTGCTGCTCTCTAGTGTCATGATTCGGAAGTGCAAGACAGGAAGAGATGGTGACCATCCAAGGAAGTCGGAAAAAGCAGAACTTGGGTGTCCAGGTTCCATGTGAGACACTGTCAAGGAATGGTGATGAGTAGGGTAGTGTGCAGAGATATGAGACAATGCACATGTGACTCTACTAACAATAACCATCCCCACTTATTGAGTGTTGGCCATACGTCAGTCACAGTGTCAAAGGCTTTGCGTGCATGATCTCATCTTCCTGGCTCAACAACGCCATGATGTAAGTGCAGTTATCCTCCTTACCTTAGAGACAAGCAGACTGAGATTCAGAGAGGACAGGTCATGTTCCCAAGGTCATTCCACTGGATTGAACCCAGATTATGTCTGAATCCAGAACCTATGCTCCTGCAAATGCTGTGGGGACTCCACGATGGGAAATCTCACAGGAGGTCAAGGACTCTTAGAGTGCCTTCTTGAAGAAGATGACATATGATCCAGGCTTTGAAGAACGAGGTCCAAGGGATGGATACCTCAAGAATATGGAGCAGGGTTCCAGTGGGAACAATCTGGAGGAAGGAATAGATGAGAAAATGGTGTGGGTGTGAACGGAGGGAGTGACTCAGTTTGGCTGGAGTGTGGGAAGGGGAGCGATAAAATGGAAATACAGCTGGCCTCGATACCATGTTCTGTGTTCTTCCCACCATGTTCTTCCACAAACCCACTGCTCTTGGCATGGGGTGGCTAAAATGAAATAAGAAGTGTGATTTTTTTCAACCCACATGGAAAGACAGAACCCACCAGCCCCATGTGATTCATACTGAACAGCCTGGGTTCCCCAGAGCAGGCAGGAACACTGGAGAAAGGCCAGATTATTCAGTCCAGTTGGCCTAGTCTGAGATGATACTTCTGTCTGGGAGAAAGAGAGAGGAGAAGATTCCTTCAATAAAAGACCACTTGGTACAGTGATCTTCTCTGGACCCCAAATGAGAGTATGCCATCCAAGAAGGTCATGTGTGCTCAGGTGGACAAAGAACTTACTTTTAAAACTGAGGCACTTTTCTAGAACAGCAGTGACACACAACTGCGAAGAGACTTCCACCTGGCATTGGGAAATGTACCACTGCTACCTCACTAAATTTGAAATAAAAATTTAGATTAAAAATATGCTTTCAGGTTCTGACGAGGATCCAAAATAAGGAAGGGGG